AAAAAAAAAAAAAAAAAAAAAAAAACCAACCTGGGAATGCAATTTTCAGACACCAACAACAGTCTACTATTTGTATAGCTATCAATTGCCTCCAGAACGTTTGGCCTACAAAACTTCTCCCCAGGGAACATAAACCACTGATCCACATACAGAAAAAGAACAAACATTTCTTACCTATCAGCAGCAAAAAAAGGAAAATGAGCCAACTTCCAGTAGATATTTACAGTGCGATGTCACAATGATGAGGTGCTAAACTTGCACTGGGAGAGAGGGAGAGAACACATGATGCATGTATCTGCACAACTTTGATTCCAGACTGGTGTAAGCATCACTTCAAAAACCAATGAAATGTATAAAGTAAATGCAATACCTAAGCAAGTGTTTACTTCCCTCTTCTACAAAGATGCTTCTTCATAAATTTGTTAAGGCTTCCTCATTCCCTCAATGCTGCGTTGAACTGACCTTAGAGTATTTAATTTTATTTACCAAAAAATCCTTAAAACCTATACATCTGGACAAAAAAAAAGAAAAGGTTACACAAATAATGTAACTGTAGTGATTGATTCCAAATATATGAACCATTGATAATTAAGAGTTACCAACTAGTTTCAGAGCTTTTTTTTCCTTCTAAAGAGACAAAGGCCCCAAGATAGAAATAATAAAAATAAAAAGGCAGTTTCTTCAGCTTTTTTAGCACATGCAGTGAAATCAGAATTTATTTAGCCCTTCAGAGCAATATGTAATGCAGAGCAGGCAAGACAGGAAGCCAGTTAACCACAGTTACTGTTATGAAAAGGATAGTTCCCTTTTCTGAAGTGCTTAAAAATTAATGAGCTATAGATACTAATAATTAAGGTCCTACATGACATTGTTTGACCTAATTAGACACTGAGAGAATTAAGATGAATAAACTAATTTTTAATTAGTTATCTGCAAAATGGATATTATCCCAATATTTTAATTTAAACATAACCAAGATACTGTAAGCATACTGCCATACTTCCTCTGCTCCTCTCCCAGTGTATAGGTAACAGTTAAAAGAGGTAAACAGTGTGCCTTTACTTGTCCCAAAGCAAAATTCTTATTCAGAAAGGACATCTCACTGAGTACCTGTTGTTGTATTCCTCAGGAGCCTGTAGGCAGCGATCAGAGAACTGACTTAAATGATACTTTGATGTTAGGGAGTTGGAACAGAAGGTTTTGGAGAGGATTTTAAAACAGTCTGTATGCATGCCAACCTTGCCAGCCTCTGACTGTACCCTAAGTAGTATCTTCTGAAACTACAATACAACCTATATCAGAGTCTATATGCTCTGTCTTGAACACATTCCCTTTTCAAACCTGCCAGTTTTTTTAAATTTATGAGATAAGTTAAAATAAAAAAGAAGCTGCATCTCAGTATGCGTTCCAGAGTTGAGACAAAGAAAAAATCAGCCCTTCCTTCCTTCTTTTCTCAATAGCTTCCTATTAAATCAATATATGCTAAATTAAATATATCTTGTTAATGCTGTATTGACCTGTTTACATATTACAGAGTAGCTCTTGTGACAGATTTCTCTCTGGGTCAGCCTTATTTTAGGTTAAGAATGAATTTATTTAAAGATAAGACTAAAATGTGTTATCAAATTTCTTGCCACCATAAGTAATAATAAAATCAGTTAAAAGCCAGCTGGCATTTCCAAAACAGATAATCATACATCCAAATTTCCATTTGGCAGGAATTTGGTTTCAAAACGAAAAGTAGAAATATTGTAGTTGCCTGTGGAAGGGAAAAGC